GACCCAACAACCGTCAGTCTTTCACACTAAAATGAAAGCAGCACCTTGCTTCTTCCACATCAACAGAAATATGATGGGTCCGTCCCGGGAAATAAGAGAACAGACTGTGCTGGGATAAGACGTTCTGGGTGTGAACGCTTGTGCAGACACAGCTGAACCAAGACGCTCCCCGTAGTCAACAGCCACCAGTACTCCTAAACATGCTGGAATGGGGGGGCGCCACCTTTCTGAGAAAGAGCCGAAAGGAAGGTCTGAAGGAGGGAGTCATCAGGTCCTAACAGGATCCAGGTTTTCGCAGGCTAGACAGATTCTTCCAGACATAAAAGCGTTCCTCACATTTGAACACAGCTCAGGCCAGGCTGGGCGTCGGCGCACACTAGGTGTGCTCCCTGCCCTTCCCCCACAGCTGTAACCAGGGATTTCCTGCTGTGATGAAGTTGAAAAGCAACTGTGGGGGAAAGGGCTTATTTCGGCTCACAGTTTGCAGTCCATCTCCAGGGGAGCCAGGGTGGGACTCAGGCAGGAGTCAGCGGAGGCTGAGGCCATGGAGGGCGCTGCTCACCGGCTTGCTCGGCGCGCCTTCTTACAGCACCAGGTCCACAGCCCGGAGGTGGCACCACCCAACAGGAGACAGACCCTCCCCAGTCACAGGTCACTCTGGTGGGACATTTTTTTTCAACTGAGGTTCCCTCTTCCAAAATGACGGTTCTGGCTGTGTCGTGGTGTCATAGGCTAGCCAGCACAGAGGAGCCGAGTGTACTCTGCTGTGCTAACTCTGAGTGTCCAGGTGAGGAAAGCAGGCATTGCCTAGGCAGGAGGAGCCCAGCCTAGGCCAGGAACAGACTCCACCACAGACACTGACAACCTACAACAACGCTCTCTTTCCTGCGGGTGCGAGGAAATTCCCAGTGTCCTCTGGGGCAGGTGAGGAAAGACAAGGCGTAAGAGCAAAGAAAGCCACTCTAAAGTGAGGTGTGGAACACACCCACAACAGGCCTTTCCCAGAACTCAGGGACCTTTTCAATATTAATTTCTGGTGAATCTTGTGGCTAAAATGACCTAACAATTTTTAGGAACTGATTTAAAAAAAAAAAAAAAATGGCTGGTAAACTAAGATCTTAACCCACAAAGGCCAGGGGGCATGTGTCCTTAGGACAACACAACAAGAAAATGCGCAAGTGAAGATCTCAAGCACACCTATTTCTTTTGTTTTTTTCTTCGCCTCACACCTGATCTGCTTTAGAACTGGGATGATGCTGGGACCAAATAAGACCAATAAGAGCAGGGTAAAGCCCATTTTAGCACACTAACAATGAACTTTTAGACATGACTTTTAAGTCATTTAGATAATATCTAAAACAAACAAAAAATGCTTTTTAGTCACGATTTGCCAAAACTCCACTATATGCCAGGCACATCAAACTCTGCAGTTACCCTGCAAGCAGTGGGCAGCCCGAGGACCACCTGCCGGGCAGGTACTGCCAGTGGGCCAGAGAAAAACCCTGGCTGTGCATGTGCACATCAGCCAGCCTCAGCACAGCCCGGCGGGCTGAGAGCCCCACCCCCATACAGCACTGGACACTGCTCCTGAGAGGCTGCTCGCGTGGGGGCGGGCAGGGGGTCCTGCTGCCAGACAACTCCACAGTCCAGGGAAGAGGCAGCATTCTGGACCTGTCTCCACTCGTTCGTGACCTTTTTAGAGAACTGCTGCAGCAGAGGGCTTAGGACAGTGGCTGAGCGCGGAGGAGGCGGAGGCTTCCGGTTAATAGCCTAGCTGGTTCAATTCCCCAAAATTACACTTAAAAAACAATGGTGACCTGGGTTTAAATGGTGTCTCATCATCTCGAAGACTTGCGCAGGCTGTATGTGCCAGCCTCAGTAGAGTCTAGATGTAACATGCTCCCTCTGCCCCCGTCTTCCCCCTTGTACTACTGCTCTAGTTTTCATTTCTACTGTGATAACACGCCCACAGTTCCAGGTTACAGTCAGGGCAAGACAGGAGGCGAGGACAGACAGACCATGAACACACGCACTGCCCCTGCTCAGCACGTCTACGCCTGCACAGCCCAGAACCTGCCCAGAGAGCGCTCGGGCCCACAGCGAATGAGCTCCTGGGTAAACGCCCACAGGCCACTGGACCCCAAGGGTCCTCAGCGACTCTCCCCAGGAGACTCTAGACCGTGTCAAGCTGACCAGTTACCACAGCCTTCAACCTTGGAAGAAAGACTCGTCTACAAAGCAGGTCTGTAGCTGATTGCCTCACCTGGCACAAGGCAGGCTCTGGGCTCAATCCCCAGGAAAAGGAGAGCAAGGGGGTGACTCACTCTAAGCAAAAGTGTACCTTTTCCTGACCTCACCTCCACAATGCCCACTGTGGACGGACACTTGCTGAAACATATTACGGTCAACTAGGTCAGTAATGAAGAATGGCGAGAGCTTTTACAGCCGCCCAGTTAGATCACTGAAGAGCAGCTCTGCCCACCACCAGCGGCTACTCGAAAACCAACCAGGACTCCGTTAACACAACCAGAGCAGTTTCTCCTTCCCACCTCGGTATTCCCCGGGGAAAGTCTTCCCTGCTTCGCCCCAGGAGCCGAGGTCGCTGTCCCTCCCAGCACTCGGTCTTACTGCTCGCTTTTGACCTCACTGCAAACTACCTTCACTGAACCATAGCAGACCTAAGACAGAAGGATCTAATGAAGACAGGCAAGGAACAACCCTGAAGTGAAAGCAACCACGAAGAACATAGCATGGTTTTTCCATTCTACAAATGAGGAAGCAGGAGTTTTTTTAAATAGAAAAATCACCAGCAGTCAACACATTGAAACGAATGACAGGCGATTCCAGTCCAGTGACGTCTGACTCAAGAAGTCGGTGCTGTCACTTCAGAAAGTGCTGCAGGCACAGCACGAAGGTCCTGGTACCACCGCTCCCCAGAGACACCAGGACTGTCCTTCCAACGGGAAAGATGGAAGCTTGTCCTCCCACCCAGACAGCGGAGAGCTAGAGGTGACTGACAGTTTGGTATCTGGTGGGCCAGGCCCTATCAAGCTCCTCCAACCAGAGCTGAATGAGCCTATCAGCCAGACGCTCCCACAAGGAGGGTCAGAGGTGGCTAACCGCCCCAAAGACCTCTAGCTTTCTGTATGACTGAGACCAGGCCAGACCTCAGGCCCTTAAGCTAGAACAGGCAGCATACTTTAGAACCCATCTTCTTGGATGAAACAGTATGTACCCTGAGCTGAGTTTCAATGTAATTACGCTTCCTTGTACAACGGGGATTGTGTTACACCAGGAAACTTTTTTCCAAATTATACTGGGCTTAACTACATGGATAATAAACCACCAGTCATAAGCTCCCCAACGCCTTCATTCTTCTCCCTTCCTGGAGTTTTTATGTCCTTGTATAACAGCTGCATGGACCCCTCAAAAAGCGACATAAACGCAGCAAATTTATACAGCCATCCTTTCTCACAGTAACCACAAATGATATTACCACTTAATTTTTATCACTTTGGTGAACCAATGGCCCTCAAAACTTCCAAGCTTAGACCGACAGCCATGACATTTCCCCAAGAGCCAAACCCTCTCCCCTTTCACGTCAGCACAGACATGTCCAGCAGACAGACACGGAGCAGCCCCAGCCAACGCTGCAATCCTCAGCAAACACTCACATCTACATGTGAGGTGTCAGCTTCCACAAAATCTTTCAAGGGTTTTCAGGCACTCCTGTGTGATCAGGCCCCTCTGTGTAGGGCTTGAACACACCCTAAGCTCTCTCAGCGAGGACAGCCCCGCAACAGAAAGCCTCCTAGCAGGGTCAGGAGAGCAACAGGGTGGCTCTCCACCCTCCTCACGCTGCCGCCCTTGGCTCCCGTCACTGCTGCCTCGTAACTGTGGTTTTGTTATGTTGGGATCGTAAATGCCTGTGATTTCTGGCGGTCTTAGAGACCCTGTGAAAGGGTCACTCGACAACAACAACGGGAACGCAACCCTCAGGCTGAGAACCCAGTATTAACACAACCAGTTACCACCACAGAGGCTTGGCCAGGGACCGCCAGTGTCCCACGACTGTGGCTTCTGCTTCGCTTCATTCACCTGGCCTCCTTACAAGCCAGAGGTGGACGAGCAGAGTCTATCAGCTATCTCATCAACACGATCAACTCCAGCGGCATAAACAGCTGATGACTTAAACGCCGAGTGCTGGAGGTGCCCTGCTGGTTGAGGCTGCAGTTCTTGCCTGGACTGGCTTCACAGCCATTACCAGCCGGGCCTGGGCGCTAAAGGCAGACCCCTCCCTCCCCTCGGGCGGGGTCCCCTGCTGTCTGCTGGACCTCATCTGGAGAGTGTCTCTAGATACAGACACCCTTAACCACACTTGGTCTACGCCTCTGACACAGATCCCTGTGAGCTCTCTCCTCCCTCCACCTATATGCTAATCCAGCACTGACACCTACTCTTACAAGAGGAGCATGCTGCATGAAGTAAATCAAGCATCCTCGAAGTGCCGAGTTCCCGCCAATTATGGACGCCCGAACTCCCCCAGGGGCATATATTCTTTGTTCTCTGGAATTACAGTTGAACTAGCCCTCAGCTATTCGGGCGTGTGATCCCCGTGGTCATTCACGCTTCTCGCCTCCTGCCCCTCCTGACTTTGTGGGCTGCTGGAAGGCAGCCCCCAGGCAGGAGACCCAACAGCTTAGCAAGAAGTGTGGCTCCTCACAGCTGCCCATGCGTTATTAGTGACTGCTGTTACAGATTAATGAGCAAGGGCCACTCAGTTTCCTCTCTGAAAGAGAATGTCAACACCAAATGCTTTTACCAAAAATAGAACCCACGAGTAACATTTTCAACGATAATGACACCATCAAAGACAGGCTCTTTTGAAGAGAGGTCAAGACCCTCTCCTTGCTCTGAACCTGCTCTCAGAGTCCCTGGCATCTCCCTCCTGGCTCAGCCAAGTGCAGCATAATGGGAATCAGCGTTATTTTAAGCCATACCTTCAGGTAGGATCCATAATATTTGGTTACGTATGGACTGTCACACTGACTCAGCACTGTGATCTCTTGTTGAATGTCCTCTATCTCATCTTCAGCTTCTTCCAGATCAATGATTTTTATGGCAACCACTTTCTGAGTCCGATTGTCAATGCCTTTGAACACCTCTCCAAAAGAGCCCTTTCCAATCTTCTCCAGCTTGGTGAAAAGCTCTTCTGGATCTGCTTTCAGGTTCTGCAGGAGAGAAGGGAGGACACATCAGCATTCCCCAGAGCCACAGCTGGTTCTTCATCATCCTACCTGATGTGTGCTGACCTGGGCCAGCACACCAGAGGAGAGACTGCTCTGCTTCCCGTGACAAGGACCAGGCTGCTTCTTACCTACATGCATAGGTTAAACACACACAGCAAGTGTGGGGCAAGAACAATGAAGCAGAAAAGCGAAAGGGCTTGAGATTTTGTGTAATAAAAACAAAACTCAAAGTGTATACTGACATGCCTGAGAACAGACATCTAGCTGTTTGCAAAGCTTACTCTTGGGTTGGCAGTTAGCTCAGTGGTGGAAGGCCTGCCCGGCCCAGGTTCTGTAGACAGTACAGGAAGAGGTGGTCTGCTCCAAGCAAAAGTTCTACTTTCTTCTCAAACCATTACAGCACACCCTAACTCCCGATGGGTATTTGCTGGAACAGGTTAAGCAGCTGCCACAGGACAGGGAGGGGAAGACCAGCCCTGCTGGCTGTCCTTCATGGCTGTCCTCACAGGACCAACAGCCAGATCCCAGGGAACAGTAACGGTGTCTGTTCTGTGGCTGCTGTGTTCAAACAGCTTGAGCTCCTACGGCTGAATGCGACCACACACAGAAGCCTTGGAGGCCTGTCAGGGCACCCACACAGCTCTGTCCGAGGATTCTCAGCAGGGGCAGTCACTGTCCGCGCTAGAGATACTGGAGACGACTGGAAATAACCTGAGGAGCTGTGTCACAATGTGGGGAAGGACCCAGAACAAAATGGCTGCAGCAGCCCAAAACCTGCAACAACCAAGGACAGTACAAGACCCAAAGGTAGCCTTTAGAACACTTTCCCACAGGCCTCAAAAAGAGGAGACTATCTGGCTGATCCTTAAAAGTCTATTGTAAGGGGCTGGAGAGATGGATCAGAGGTTAAGAGCACTACCTGCTCTTGAGGTTCAATTCCCAGCACCCACATGGCAGCTCACAACTATCTGTAAGTCCTCTTCCAGGGATCCGTGGCACCAGGCATGCACAAGGCACAGATAAAATACCCATACATACATAAATATTACAAAGTAAACTAGCCCTGTTTAAAAAGGTCTGAAACAGGGCTGGAGAGATGGCTCAGTGGTCAAGAGCACTGTCTGCTCTTCCAAAGGACCTGGGTTCAATTCCCAGCACCCACATGGCAGCTCACAACTGTCTGTAATGCCAATTCTGATGGATCTGACACCTTCACACTAATGCACATAAAATTAAATAAATTATTTAAAAAAAAAAAAAGGTCTGAAACAGCAGTACTGGGGGGACAATACTGGGAGAATGACAGAATGAGAAGGGAAGAAGGCCAGGGTGACAAGGTGGGTCGCAGGCGCAGGATATGCAAACACCAGCAGCACAGTGACAACGACTTTGCTGTCACTGGGCGCCAGGCACTCACATGCTCTCCGAGTGGACATTCAAGCACCTGGCTTTCAAGGGCATCGGTTGAGAGCCTCACTGTGCAATACCCTATGGCAACCAGGCACTAGAGTCACAGCATGCAGAGCTAGCATCCAGTCACGCCCAGCTCACAGGCCCAGACAATGTGAAACGTGCCTGGGGTTCCCACAAGACAGAGGAGGGCCATGGCCCAGCCCTCCATGCACAATGGAACAGAGTAAACTACGACAGCAAAGGCAGCGGTTTTGGTCACAAACTCCTTGGCTCACAGAAAGCTAAACCCACCCCCTCGAGGTGAAAGGAGAAAGCCCATTCCCCTTCCCTTGCACCTGAAACAGTATGATGAGGTTTAGCTGGGCAACTGTGTTTCCAGCCTCAGCACCACCTCCAATGCCTGCCAGGCACTTGGAAGTTTTCCCAAGGCAGTCTGAGAACCCTCTGAGGTGAGGGCAATGTCCTCAAGCTGCTGGGCTACCCGAACATTTCTTTTATCATTAAAAAGAAGCTGGCACTTCTTGCCAACTTTACCAGGTAAACTCTCTTCAAAGTCATTTCTGGGAGTACCCAGAGTAGGAAATGCAAGTGGGGGCAGCATCTTGCCCCCAACTCGGCCTGTGCCTCTGTGCCCTCGCACATCACGCGAGCAGCTGGGAGAGACCTGGTCTCCTTCAGCCAAACCAAAGCCAGCGAGGGGCCGCTCTGTGCACCCTGCTCTGTGCACCCTGCTCTGTGCACCCTGCTCTGTGCACCCTGCTCTGTGCACCCTGCTCTGTGCACCCTGGCTGCTCCAGGCTGCAGTTTTACTGCCTCTCACCTCCTCCCTCCAGGATGAGGTGGGGTGGCCCTCCTTTTCTTCAAGGCGGATTCTAGTTGTAGGACTTTGGGTCCATCCTCCTCCCTCTGCAAGGCTTCTGCAGCAACCCTCTGGGCAGCTCTGCTTGCACTGCCCCTCTCTGCTGGCTCCCTGCCCTGGGCATGCTCCACTTCCTCCCCCCCACACGCTTCTTGGCTGAGGGTTCCTGATGGCCCGCAACCGCCTGCCCTGCCCTGCCCAGCCCATGGCCATCCAGCGGGGAAGCTCTGGTCACCAGCGTTGCAGTGCCCTGCCTTTGAGCCTCAGCAGCCACACCTTCTGGCCCTCGTAACTTTCCAGTCCCTTGGCCTCTGAAGCTGGTCCTCATCTCTTCTTCCATCCCCTTCTGCCAAAGGAACCTCCACACTGGCCCTCAATCCTGGCTAACACCCAGACCCACCCACTGAACACGATCACCTGGGACCCTGGGCATTACACCCAGAGAGGGTTGGAGAGAGCTGCAGACAGTCCATACTGTTTAGGTCAGCGTTCCAGCTGACCTAAGAACTGCCCCATGTTACTGCGCATGCGCCAACCCCACAGCCAGCTCCCATCCTGCTTCCCAAGTCTGAACTCTAGGACACTATACTCTTTTCACAGACACTGTGTCACTCACCCTACAGACCTGACCCGTGCTCTTTTGCACTGTCTTGTGTTCTAGACTAAGTAAGGAAGTGTGTGGGCACGCCTCCCTCACCTCTACACCCATAAGCCTCGACCCAAAGAATGCCCCCCGGTCTATGCGGACACCAAGCCCCACAGCAGCATCACACAGCTCTTCCTGAGACTGCCCTGGAGAGGGTATCCCCAGAGCACTCTGAGAAGAGAGCCCCTCAGATCTGATGGCAGAGCCAGCCTGGGCTTCAGAGGGCATCTGCTCGCCACTGGAGCCTCATGGGCAAAGCTGGGGTTTCCTCTTCAGAGTGAAAAACAACCTACCAAAACCCTCCCAACACTGAGGAGGCCAGCAAAGAAAGCTGTTTCTAGGGTCCCTGCCTGGGAACCCCAGCTGCCCTTGCCCACACATGAATGTGGCTTCGGCCCCGCCCAGCTGGTGGTGAAGCCCATCTGGCCAGCTCCTGGTCCCCAACTGATGAGGTCCTAGCATACACATAAGGTCATCAGTAGCCCAAGGCCAGTGGATCTGCCCAGCACCCGCAGAATCACTGCAAGTTGCCTGGCTTGACTGGACACAGCCTGGCACTGCCCAAATGGCCATGTCCTGGCTCTTCTCAGAACCACTCAGAATCTCCCATACCTGCTCTCAGGAAAAAGCAGTCTGTAGCAGACCTTCCTGTCCTGCCACTGACGGCTGCTGCAGTCTGCTGCTATACCACAATGCACACAGCAGAAGAGGGGCACCGTCCTTGGCATCAGAAAGCAAATGAGGGAGCGCTACATAAGCAGGCCGACAAGTGCCCCATCCCAGGCGTCTGAGTCTGGCACTAAGGCAAAAACAAGCTGGCTGTCGCCCTAGGCCCTTGGCCTGCCCCGGTACCTCTTCAAACCCTGTACAGCTTACAGGGTCAAGCCTTAACGCAGCACAGCTCCCAACTGAGGCCCCTAGGAGCACCTCCATCAACACAAAGCCTGTTCTGGCCCACTGGAGCAGCTGCATGAGGACGGATGCCCAGCCACCTGCTGTCCTCCTGACCTTCAGAGCACAGGCCCTGCAGCTGACCACAGCCACGAGCCCTAGAGAGTGCACATGCACGTCCATACACACACACAGACGGAGACAGCAGGGAGCCAGAGACAGAGAATGAGAATGGTGTGGCAGTTTGAGGAAGAGCAGCTCCCACAGGCTCACTTAGAGTTGGATGCTTGGTTTCTGTTGGGGGAACTCTGGTGAAGGATCAGGAGGTGTGGCCTTTGTTGTAGGCGGTTATTAATATTTACTATTGGTTTATCTTCTGGTAAAGCTTGCTGCTAATCTTAAACAGTTGTATAACCAAATCACCACACAGAGACTGGGTTTTTAGTGAACCTAGAACACAATGCTGGGCAATATTTACTCCCTCCTAAACCTCCAAGCCCTCAGTTTCCTAACATTTAGATTTCCCACATTAAAAAAACACATTATAGCAACAGGCCCTGTTGGAGGAGGTATGTCACTGGGGGTGGGCTTGAAGGTTCAAAAGACTCCTGCCACTCCCTGTTCCTGCCACCATGGACCTTAATCTCCATGAACTGTGAGCATAATTACACACTTATACGTTGCTGTGACCATGGTGTTTCATCACAGTGAAAGAAAAGAGAGACACACTAAACTGCTGTTGTTTTAGTCACCCAAACAGTTTAAAAGAAGAGGGAACACAGCTCAGAAAAGTGGAGACGGGTTTCCTATGTGAACTGGGCTTGGTTAGAATACCCCTTCTCCGTTTAAGTAGGCTCAGATGTCTCGGAAAGCAGCTACTTCCCCTTTATTGCTGTTCCCAAGACCCTCCCAGAATCCTCCATGTAAGGCCCAATTTAATACCTCACATCTGCCCAAGCAGGCCTCTGAGAGCTACCCTTGGCAAGAAGGAACCACCTGAGATGCTGAGAGCAGAACTCCACAGAGCCTGGTTCCCACAAGGCCAAGGCCATTGACCTGGGCATTCTTACAGAAACTCATTACCACATGACTGGAGTTACCCACACAGCCAGAAAAACAACAATGCCAAAGGTAACCTGTCTGAAAAGGGAAGCTCAAGGTTTTGCTAGCAGA